GAGCGAAGTTAATATGGACTGCAAAATATATATTTCAAATATATATATATATATATATATATATATAAAAGTCCTTTGACTCCTTCCTCTTTTATGATTAAGTGATATCAATTTACTTTTTGATGCTTTGAGTCATCCCTTTAGTGTGTTCAGGCTTCAGAAGCTTATGAAAGATTTTGAAGCATTAGGAGAAAGCTGAGCATAAAAACCCAAACGGGCTCCCGAAATCAAGTCCTGCAACGTGACATGGTTCATGTCCTCATGTTGCACAGATGCAATCTAGCAATTCTCTGCTCTAACTGGGTCTCAGATATTATGATAGGATATTTGGAGCACTCTATATGAAACATTCACATAAATCTTTGATTGCAGAAAGAGTTTGGCACTTACAAAAGTACATGAAATCTTCGAAGAATACACACCCACCAAATGTTTCTTGCAGTTTCAATACATATAGAGCACACTCGTCTAATTACTAGACTTAAAATGACAGAACATCTATCTTTGAGTTACTGGAGCTAAAGCCTTTTTCGATTGGGATCAAAAGTTTAGAGAGCCAGAACCTGTTGTTGGAGTGATTCCCTCTCTTCCTTTTTCTAAGCTGTTCATTTCCCTTCAAAGATGCCTCGTCTAAAAGTGGAAGTATAAAGCTCAATGAGAAAAGGAAACTGCAACAGTACAAAGATAATGACTGGAACACCAGCAAACAAAGTTACTGGTATGATTATCCACAATCGACCTTGTAGCATAATGAAAAGAGCAACACAAAATGCTACCATCATTGCTGCAATAGAGATGAAGAGTGAAGATATGCCAACAATCAACTTCACGGGTAAGGATTTAAGGAAATCTTTATAAGCATAACGTGAAGTAAGAATCCCCAAAAACATTAGCACCGAACTAGATGCAGCAAAAAGAGAAATTGCATCTGATGCTACAAATATCATGAATGGCACGGTTGGAGAAGATACTGTAGAAGAGTCTGCTGTTTTGTTCAAAAATATTGGGAAGCCTGTATTTTGATCATTCCCACCAGGAACAGTAAAAGCCACAGCAAACATAATTGTAATGATTAGAGCACCTACGAATGTAGAGGATTCTGCCGTTTTCTTCATCCATTCTTCCGCTTCTTTTAGCAACTGCTTGTGTTCCTTAACAAACACTTCGGAAGGAGTTTCACCACCATGATTTTTTTGATGGTTGTAGAACTGTGGAACAATGCCTTCCACTTCCTACATTAATTTCAAAATATTATTCTGGATGTTTAGTGACAAACTCATTATTACTATACGGAATTAATGGAGCCACATGTGACATCAAAATATAAAATTTATTAATTGACAGAACATATAAAAATATGAAATGCTTACCTCGAACCAGCGTAGCTCACTTTGCAACTGCAGAGCTGCGCCTGAGATGTAATCAAGGTGAGTACGAGGAGCTAACTTTGCTGCTATATGTAATAAATTGTTTCCATCTCGATCCTCGGTAAAACCTATATTTGTACTAATTCTTGCATTAAATTTATAAAGAAATTGTGCCACTTCCTCTTGACGATGTGCTATAGCACATGCAAACATGTTCCTTGAATCTTCAGGATCAACATAGTTCCATAATATATTTGTATTAACTTTTAAAATTTCTATTGCAATCTCAGGGGTGCCATTCTTGATAGCTTGAAAGGTTGCTTCCACTGCTCCACTTTGCACAAATTCATCCTCATCCAAAGCTGATAATTTTCGACATATAAAATGGACAATCTCACGGGCAATTGCATCCATCAACTTTAAATCATATATTTTCGTTGCTGTTGAAAAAAATATATATTTTGCTTCAATTCTACTAATAAGAATTAAGAACAAAAGGCCGAAAAAGAAAAGAGAATTAATAACAAAAGCTAATTAGGAAAAGGAGAAAAAAAAATGGAGAAAGAAAAAAGACTCATTTGATGGACATTATTACTTTCCAAGAAATTCGGATATTGAAACCAGAATCCCTGCCATTAATGTGTTATATTCATAACTTTTTTTTAAAAAAAAAAAAAGTTATTTCATTGGTATAATAAATGATTGCCTTTCTATTTAGCCAACAATCTCTACAGAAGTTATTAATGAGAAAAAGGAAAGAAAACTCATAACTACTATACCTCTTCGTTGAGGTGCAACACTGCCAACACCATCAGATAGAACACTTCCTTAATCTACTATCACTCTTGTACCTTCAGTTCCAATTGCAATAAAAAAAAATAGCATTTAATACACTAAAAAATTCAGAAAAGCATATTGGAAAACAAAGAAAGATGGCATGCACAACATCGCAAAATACTCTATTTTTTAGTCGAAAAATATATTAAAAGAGAAATTATGTTAAAAATTAAAGAGATAAAGATAAATGATACTAACAATTATACATCCATCGTCTCCAAAATGATAGCTGATTTCCTCTAAAGAATGGTGGTTGTGTTTGAGCAAGAGTTAAAATGATCGAATTGGTATAGTTCAGAAAGATTTTATATACTGCAAACTCTGGAAAGCGGTGGAGGAGATGGAGTGCAATATCTGATACATGTCAAATTAAGTATATTTATTAGAGGAAAACGAAATAGCAAAATTATATAAAGAGAGAAGATGAATGTTTAGAGCTCTCACCAAACATTTTCTTAGTTATACACTCTTCGAGGAGGTAGAAGCCATTGTTTCCCCTTAGACGTTCTCTCCGGGTCTCGCGGTAGAGGTAGCGAGTCATGTCCTCATGGCCTGCCTTGCAAGCCAATTGAACTGGGAGCCTATCGAGGCCATCTGGGATATTAAGCAAGTCCTTGTTCTTTTCAATCAAGCATTTTGCAATTTCCATCATTCCACTACGAGCAGCAAAGGAAAGAGCTGTGTTGCCACTCTCATCTTTCATCTTCAATTGGCGACTGTTTGCTTCAGTACCAGTAATAGTGATCAATTCCTTAGCAACCCTTAGCTGACCAGCAGTAATTGCAACGTGGAGAGCAGTTTTTCCATTTTCAAATGTTGTAGATATTGCATCTGGGTTGCTTTTAAATAAGTCGCTTACTTCCCTAAACTTCCCTTTGTAAATAGCGTTAAGCATGGCATTTGCAAATTGCTTCCTTTTAAGATCTCGATCTGCAAGCCAATAATGGTGGTATAAGGCAATAGCGTGTGTAAGGTGTAAACTAGCTAGTTCCATGTGCTTGTGTCGGCAGGAAGAGTGAGTAGTTTAGACAAAGAT